TGGGTGTTGAGTCATCCACTAGAGCAGTGGTTCTCAACCTGTGGGCCGAGCCCCCTTTGGGAGTCACATAGTCTCAGAAACCCTGCATTTTGGATATTCACATTATGATTCGTAAAAGCAGAATTAGTTATGAAGTAGCAATGAAATAGATGTATGGTTGGATGGAGGTACTGCAACCTGAGGAATTGTATTAAAGGGTGGCAGCATTAGGAAGATGGAGAACCACTGTTCTAGAGCACTGGTCACCCTATGGAGGCCACACCCCTAAAGAAAACTGACACCCAGCCGTCAGCAGCTGCTCAGCCCTTCCGAGCCCCATGCTTGATGCTCACTGACTGGACCCTGCCTGTGCCACGGAGTCCAGATGTGTGCAGATGTATGTGTTCCTCTAACTCTGGTCAGAAGACATCCTCCACAGGCGTGAGTACTACATACATATACATACATACACACACACACACACACACACACACACACACACACACACACACGTAAGTAAAAAAAGAAATGTCATAATAGATAGGTTACTGTGATTTATAAGAGCTTCTGAATGTTGTTAATATACTTTTAAATTACCATGGTAACAGCAAACTGTTCAAAGATGTTCTATGATTACATCATCACAAACAATGACAAAGTGGCAAGAAGCCAAATGAATTATTAAATATGTGTAGCTTACAGACTTTTTTCTTCTTTTTCTTTTTTCTTTTGAGATAGGGTCTTACTCAGAGAGTTCAAGATGGCCTGAATGGAATTACAGCTATATGCTATTCCTCCTGGATCAGACATGGGACATTTCAGACAGAACAGCACTGGTGTGCATGCTCAGGAATCCTGAAAGGAATCAACTGGAAGGAAACCTTAAAAGTCCTTTGATCCTATAAAGGTCTTGGCTCAAGTTTCAGAAGCTTTTGTTTTTCTTTTAGCCACTAGATTTTTCAGGAAAAATTCACCTATTTGAGAAAAATAAGAATACATTAATATTATCCTGAAGTAAGCAGCAACAAGCTGCTATTCCAGAATCCCCCCACACACACACAAAGAAGGGCTGTATTTCCTGGCATGTCCCTCCTCTCAGACCTCAAAGGCAGTATTTTTATCACCTAAGTATCCCGTATCTTTGGCATTTTCCCCTACTGTTTTGATTTAAGTTTTAATTTTTTTTGAGATTATAATACTTCCATTCATCTCCCCATGACAGCAGAGGCCTACCCAGGGACCAAAAAGAATTGCTCTCAACCATCACTCCTTCCAATACCCAAGCGTTATACAAGGCCTCTGAGCCTGCGGGTCGGCTTCTGCCTGTTCTCCCCACCGTGAGGGCTGACTACTCATTGATACAAAGTGCTGCTGTTGGCACAAATCGTTTCAGAGAGCAGCCTGTCCGTCATCAGTCTGGCTCTGATGTTTATAAAGCAGACTCGTGCAGCTGAGCACGGGTCGGAAGGAATCTCTCACTCACTCCCCTCCGGGGAAGCCAGAGCTCTTGTCTGTAATGGGCTTTTGTCCCCATCGTGAGTCAAGCCTGGGCTCCACGTCCCTTTCAGCCCACTGGGCTGCACTTGGTTCAGCACTGCGTCCGATGAGCTCAGTGCTTCCTGCTGAAGCTCAGTACTAGAGGCCTGACTTCATGAGGAGTCGGTCCGCCTCCTCTGTCATCTTACAGGTCCAATCAGAATGCAACCACCACATCCAAACCCAATCACCAAGGCTCCCAAGCCTCTCGTCTGTACTGCTCAGTCCTTCACCAACATCACCAGACTGAAATCCCTGACCTGAGTCCAATGCTCAACACGCCAGAATTCCATCTTTTCGTAGTGACTTTAAAAACACTAAAAGATCCATAATTTGCTTCCTTATAAATATTAGATTTCCTTTTAAATGTTACTTTATGCTGGACATGGTTGTTCACACCTTCAATCCCAGCACTTGGAGGCACAGGCGGGCCTGATCTACATGGTGAGTTCCAGGTCATAAGGACTATGTAGTTGAGACCCTGTCTCAAAAATTAAAAATAGCTGGGGTGGCAGTGGTGCACGCCTTTAATCCCAGCACTCAGGAGGCAGAGCCAGGCAGATCTCGAGGCCAGCCTGGTCTACAGAGCAAGATCCAGGACAGGCACCAAAACTACATGGAGAAACCCTGTCTCGAAAAACCATAAATAAATGAATACATAAATACATAAGTACATAAAAATATGAAAATAAAACCACCTGCCACACACATTTAAAAAAAGACAAAAATAAAATAAATGTTATTCTAGGGTATGCACTTCTAGAAACTAATACTTGTTCTGATATTTGTATGTATTTCAACTTGTTAGTTATCCTGCCGAATTCTCACTTCTAATTATATATATACATATATATATATATGCCTTCAGAGCCTGCTAGACGGTGCTGAACCAAATTCTTGGGCTTTTTAATAATTCTCTGAGAATCTCATACATTAATACAATGCATTTTGATCATATTCCCCTCCACTCTGACCCCTAACTTCTTCCACATACCCCAACTTCATGCTTTCTTTTATTACTTAAAAAAAAAAAAATAACCTAGAGTTCAAATTCTTGGCTTTTATAAGTAGGATAAACTGTTCATGAAAATATCTTAAAATTTCCTTTCTTTTTTCCTGTTTTGTTTTTTTTAAACAAGAGTCTCATGGAGTCCAGGCTGGCCTCAAACTCACCATGTAGCTGAGGGTGACCTGATACCCCCTCAAAGTGCTATAATTACAAGTGTGTACCACCATGCCCAGCTCACTGAAATTCCTTTACAGGGATACTGAGTATCACTGATACGTAAATGTTGATTTTTCTAAACAGAATTCTGTCTAACTTAAATCTGTCTATGACTTAGACCCCAGTATACACAGCAATCACTTAAATGACCACTAATATTGCATACACATCCCCAGACACCTAGCTTACCAATCCCAATTGCTGACCCCAACTCTAGGGAAACATCTTCCGCCTCCATCTCCTTAGCCTCCTAAATGCTAGCACTGCAGTGTATACCACCAAGCCTGGCTCAAATGGCTTTTTCCTACTGTCTTTCTTCTTATGCTACTGAGAACTCATCCTCGGGCCTCATGCACGCTGGGCAAGAGCTCTACCCCCGAGTTACACTCCTAGCCCTAAATGACTTTTTAATCCTGTGAAAAATGTTTTTATTTTCATAGCCAGTTCAGTCAACGGACCAAAGCAAGAGCTAACTACCAAAGATGAAACGTTCTATTAGTTAATAAAACGTTCTATTAGTTAGTAAAACCACTCCAATTTGATTAGGGAAAATGATTTGCCAGGCTTTTCTCTTTCATGTGAAGGGCCCTGGAAAATGCAGAGATTAGCTGTAAGGTGCTTACACTGATCTGGAACTGGCTGTGTGCAGATGCAGCCAGCACACTGCCGCATGAATACACATTGTCCAGAGGACACTGTCACATGCTCTGCACGCTCTGCTGTTTCTGGAAGATCTGCTACTGAAGCCACCCGTGCGGTAACTGACTATGCAAATGGCTTCTGTTCTTGTCAAATGGCTGCAACAGCAGCAAGAGCAGCAAGCGATGTGTGCCAGAGACTGATGAGGCTGAGGAGGAGCTGCTTTAGTACGGCCCTATGGAGCACAGCTGTGACAGACGGCCCGGGAAAGAGAATCTCTTTATTCCCGACAGATGACAACCACAGCTGTTGTACTTGGTAGTCTGGGTGGAACACAGCGGTGGGGAATTAACAGACCTCCCCCCGGCAGCCAGACTCACCTGCTTTATACGAAGAGCGCACCAATGGACCACTTGCAGTGTAATGGAATCCAAGCTCATTTCCTACTTTTTCCCAGTATTTGAACTTCTCAGGAGTAACATATTCTTCAACCTTGATGGAAACAACCTCTTGAGAGCAGATTCCAGCATTCTAAGTAATTCTGACTCCAGATAGTCTACACCGTGTATTCAGAACGGCTCATCATTTGCCCAGCCCTCCCTCTCTGGTCATTTACACGTTGTTGGACTCATCACAGCATTAACCACAGGAACTTAGAGAGAAGGGAACATCACTTTGTACTGCAGTAGCTGTTCCAAAGGGGAAGAAAATGAGAGTGCAGAGACGATTTATGCTTTTCTCTCATTTATTAAGAATCCTGTAAGATTCTCCGTGTGTGCATGAACATTTTTGTGGGTGCTCATGTACGGGTGTACAGGCCAGAGACAAGCTTGGAAGTCATTTCTCGGCATTTTCCACCGTCTTTTGCACAGAGCCCTCAGTGGCCTGGAACTCTGAAGTAGGTTAGGCCAGCTGGCCATCGAGCCCCAGGAACCCACCTATTTCTGTCTCCCCTGTGCCGGCATCATAAGCACAGTCCACCATTTCTGGGTAAAAGAAAACGTGGGTCCTGGGGCTTGAACTCAGTCTTTATGCCACTCCAAGTCCCCCTTATAAGACGTCTGAGGACAAGACAAATTCATCTTGCACCTCATGTTTAGCACTGCCCCTGGACAGGTTTTATTTTTGTCTGTCTGTCTGTCTGGTTGGCAGGACTAACAGTTGAACCTAGGCCCTCCCACATGCTAGGCAAGTGTTATTGGCACATGATAATACTCAGCACAATTTTCCTGAGTAAATCAACACTCCGTGAGAGAAACAGAAAAGTGCCTTCCTTTGTTTCCTTCAGCTCAGTCTTCCAGGCATCTCTAACCGAGTCGCAGGACCACCAAATGTCAGTAACACGACCTCCCACCTTTCCACTTTTTCCGTATGCTCACGTGACTTCAACAACTGGGTAGCAGTGAGTACCACTGTCACCGCTTTATGTGGGCAGGAAGATGGACATTTACATGTACACACGGGATATTATATGGTTTCTTATTTGTACCTGTGGACCATGAAGACTTACTAGGAAAAGAGTTGGCAACTCAAGACACCTGTACCTTAAGGTGGCGCTTCGTTGGCTGCATATACTGTCCTAGAGTTAAACAGTCCACGTCGGCTGCTCGGAGCGCTGAAAGGAAAGAGGCAGGGTTGCCCCACAGTGTTTCAGTTACCGCTATGATCTGAGCACAGGTTTGGGGCGGGGGTTCTTCCACACTGTGCTTAACTACATCACAGGCAACACGGGACAGGAGAAACCAGTCATTCAAAAAGAGAATTGGAAACACAGGAATAATCGCCACAGGAGTGTGACACTGGGAGAGAGAAAGAAAATGCAAGGCTGGATGTGGTGGCGCACGCCTTCAGTTTCGGCACTCGGCAGGCAGAGGCAAGCAGGTCTCTGAGTTCGAGGCCAGCCTGGTCTACAGAGTGAGTTCCAAGACAGCCAGAGCTACACAGAGAAACAACAACAAACATAACAAACAAACAACAACACTGCAGTGCTGTCAAACCAAGGCCACAACAGGAGAGGGTTTTAGAATGGGAGTCTGTCAGGCATAACAGGTGAAGGGAGGTGACCCTGGGGGAGCCACGCCCAGGCCTGGCTGTACTGCATCCTTCCCTTTAGTGTGTCTCTATTAACCCCCATCCTTAAGTCTACGTTAATTCTTTTTTTCCCCCTTTTTGGTGGCTGAAGAACCACGGGTGCTGGGAACCGAACTCTTACATATTTGGTTGTGAGCCTAGCCTTTAACAGCTGAGCCTTCTCTCCAGCCCTAAAATGTTTTTCTTAATAAACTCCACCTCTGCCTTAAAAATAAAAACAGGTGAAGGAACAATTATCCTAGAGTGAAAACATTCACATGAGGCGAACATACCGTCCTGGGCTCTGCCTTGGTGAGCAGAGGTGTTCTCGGAGCGTGACCTGACCTGTGACATATCAGTCTTTCCTTTTCAGCTGTACTTGGTGGGCAAGCGCTCTACTAAAGCTAAAGCTGCAGCCTTCAGAATCCCATCCACAGTACCTGGCACCTAACTGGCTCTCAAAACCATCCAACGACAGAAAGAAACCCCATCCTCATTGGACTAGGTGAGGACAAGGAGGGCTAAAAATCCCATCGTGAGCACCATGCACACATTCCGTGACGCTCAAGGAAAGCTGCTTCCCCTGTGCATGCTGTACATTTGCGACCACATCCTTTCGTTTGTTCTGGACACGGAAGCCGGAACGCTCCCACTGGCCTCCACCTCAGCTCCAGACACTTTGTTCCCACTGTCACCTGCGCTCAGGCTATGGAGGAAGCGGACATTTAACAGGCTCTTTAGAGTGGAGTTCCTGCTACCATGGAAATGGGAAGGGGTGTCTGGTTTTCAGCTGCTTTACCTTTCATCGTGGCGAGGACCTGCTCATCCGTCTCACCTAGGCCCAGCATTATTGATGTTTTGGAAACAATGTCAGGCTGAACTTTCTTGACATGTTTCAACACACGAAGAGACTGGTCAAAATTGGCCCGGGGATCACGAACTTTCCTGGAAAACAGAGCAGCTCTCAGTGACGAAACAAGTTCAACCCAATACATTGTTATGGAAGCTGGAAGATCAGAAAGCACATTCTAGAACAGTGTTCTCAACCTTTCACAGAGGTAGCCTAAATCACTGGAAAACACAGATATTTAATTATGATTCCTAACAGTAGCAAAATCACAGTTAGGAAGTAGCAGTGAAAATAACTTTATGGCTGGGGGTCACCATGAGGAACTGTATTAAAGGGCCGCAGCACTGGGAAGGTTGGGAACCACTGCTCTAGAACACATGACCCACAGTTAGTGAGCAAATGTGTCAATGTACATACGTGCACAGAGGCAATTAACGCAGGAGAGAAAATGAGGCCTCACTGGCTTCCTAGATCTGTCAACTTTCCAGGCCTCTCAAGCCTGGGATAGAGAAAACCAGACTAGAAGTCACTCGGTTTATACACTGAAAAATTAAGATTCTGAAACTCGAAATTATAATGACGTCCAGTGAGAAAAGAGACTGGACAGAAGACAGACAAACCCCACTCTGAGGACAAAACCTACCCGACTGCACATTTCTGGGGTTGAAACTTGTATGTGCATTTCTTTCCTGCAGGTTGACTGCCCTCTGCTGGCAAGTACGGACACTGCAGGCTCGGCGGAAAGGCATTCTGGGATTTCAGAAGTGAAACCAGGGAGACTGGCACCCACTGCTGGTGGTATCACCACAGCCTCGGTCGTGACCCTCCCACAAAGCCCAAACCACCAAGGCTTAAATAGGAAGAAAGGCAAAGGCTAAGGGAGGATCAGCACTCAGATGAATTCTAATACAGCCTGCGCGCCGTATTTTTGCTTTGTTTTGTTTTAACTTAAATAAGAGGCAGGGGGTTGAAGAGACGGCCCGGTGGTTAGAGCTGACTGCTATTCCGGGGGACTCAGGTTCAATTCCCAGCACCCACAAGGGGCTAACAACTGTGTACCTCCAGTCCTAGGGGACTGACACCCTCTTCTGACCTTCCAGGGCGCGCGCGCACACACACACAGAGTGCACAGGTAACACACCCATGTAAAAGGAAAAAACAGCTAGTTATTCTCCAACTTGTACATGAGTGTTTGTGTATATACATATACGCACACACACACACACACACACACACACACACACACACACACACACACACACACACACTGTAAGTTTAAAAAGAGCAGTCTAAAAAAAAACAACCTCCAT